GACCCGGTCATTGATCTCCAACTTGGCAGAATCAAGAAGGAGGGTGAGTTCGGAGACCTGGTCCTTGGATTCCAGGAGTGACCGGCCAACTTCTTCGGATAGAACTCCAACCTGGAAAACAAACTTGTCAGTAAAGGCAAAGGAAGTAACTAAACCGGGAGGAAAATCAGAGTTGGTACCTTGCTAAGTTTTTTGGCCAGGGATAGGAAAGTTACTTCGATGGACTCCCCCTCCAAATTTGATAGCCTGACCTTCTTCTTCTTTTCTCCCTTGGAAGTCTTGTGGGAACCCTTCATTTTGTGAGAGGAAGAATGACCGGTCTCCTTTCCTTTGGCCTTGACATCCTTCTTAGGAGAAGGGACCCGGTCATTTTCAAAGAGATGGGTGGCTGGAGGAGATTTCAGCTTCTGGCTCTGTTCAGGGATAGGGCTACACCGGGCACTTGTGGCCTCATCCATTTCAGGGATATGAGGAGGAGAAGGAGGCTTGGAAAGAGGTGACCGGTCGGAATGGAGGACTTGAATATCATCGTCGTCATCTTCGATGATGGTGGTCATCCTGTTGAATTCCATGTCTACAAACAAGAACGGAACAAAACATTACTGGTTAGCTTTTTCAACTTAACAAAATAAAGTTGAAATCAAAAGGGAAGGGAGATTGACCGACCTGGATGAGGAGAACTGCCCTCAGCATGACCATCCGGGGAGTTGGCCCGGTCATCTTCTGCGTCATGGGTCGCAGACATACCCCCATCCGGGTTGGACAACCGGTACACCCAGCCCCCATAAGCATAAGGTTTCCCGGTCACAGGATCACCCTTGAGAAGTTTCTCGCAAGCGTCCTCAAGCTCTTTAGTGGGCACAGGGTGAACCCTTTCAGGTTTTATAACCCAGTCAGCCCACTCACGGTTAGAGAGGGGAAATTGGTCAGGGGGGAATTCAATGAAAACAAATCTTTGTTTCCATTTCTTGTGGCTAGGGGGGAGACCGGTTAAAAAACCCCTAGAGTTGGCACGGGAATGGAAGTAAACAAAGCCCGGGCAGTTACTAGTCCCGGGCAAGACATCATACATATGAAGGAAGAGATCAAGGGAAGGTTTGATGTTCAGAGATTCACAAATATTTACAAAA